TAATGATGTTGGTAGTCATTTCTGGAAAATCTAGCATAATAACGGTCTAGAATGACATATCACGTTACCATGCCCGTATATGCCATACCTACGCATTCTGCATGACGTCCTTATGATTTGAACATAAGACCTTCCATTGAAAGAATATACGTTTAAACCCCCACTGTAAATTTTCAGACACATCATCCAAGTTGTAATCTTAAATACTTTGTTGTTTAACGCTTCGGGAGTTTAAACTACCTGAAGATCGCTGTTGTGACACTAGCATTCGTGGTTCACAATTTCACCGCATCAAGTATATGTGCTACGCTTGATCAAAGCTGTCGAATACCAGAACATGGCGCCACTTATTAGCTCCTATCGAAGTATGGAGCCCGGCGATGCAGCGAGGTCGTTTAGTTTTACACGAAATTCTGTCATATTCGAGATTGTGGTTCCGATCGTTGTGACGATCCTGGCGATAGCTCTGTGCGTGGGCAAAAAGAAAAAGTCGAAGAAGAAAGGTAAAGCGTTGCAAACCTTACTTTCTACCTCATTTAGGAACTTGCCGTCTAATTCTAGAACCAGAGAAGAAACGTGACAAAGAGAAAGCGGACAAAGAGAAACCAAAGCAAACGGAAGAAGTGAAGAAAGACCAGACGGCTCCCCAAACACCTGAAAAACCTGCCGAGGAAAAAAAAGCGGCAGAAGTAAGCAAGGGTGAAGACAAAGGTAAAGACAAAGAAGCGAAAGAGCAAACTCCTCCGAAGCAAGAGAAATCAGAAGCGGAAAAGAAAGGAGACGGAGTGCAAGATGTAAAGGAGAAAGATGAGACGAAAAAAGCGACTGGTACGCAAACGATTGAAGATCTGAGCTCGGACGAGGGAAGTCTTCCAAGTGTCGAGTTACAATCAGCCTGAAAATCCACAGATAATAAAAAGATCAGTCACTAGACGTTCATCTTCAACTGATATCACTATGAAAAGTTTCATACTATATGCAAAATGCTGTGAAGTGATGCCTGAAATGAGCCATTCACTGCAAGATTAAAGAAGAACATTTAATGAACTGAAAAGTATTTTCTTCGAAAATCAGTTAATTTCAATGCAAAGATAGAGCTGATTCAATTACTCAGAGAATCTAGAATCTAATGCTCTAATGAAACTGAAATTTTTTGAAGGAAGGCTCGAAGATACGTGTGTTTTGTTTTCATCGTTACCTGAGGATGAAATGGATTGTCAAGTTTGCGTAATGCAATGTTCGATGCTGCAGCGTAGGGTCATAATTTTACGCTGAAGGGACTGTGCTTCAATGAGGCGGTAATATTATCCTCCAACGTGTCCGCTTGTTGTTGCTGTTGTTGCTACGGCTATCACCATTTCTGACTGGTCCGGCTCCAGTGGCGTATCGAATACCTGCTTTGCATTTCTACTGATCACATGCAATGAATGACATCAGCTTCTGCTGGTCATTATTCCACCATCTGCATCAGTACACTGCCAACCCAGGAGGATTTCAAAATAAACTATAACGTTTTAACGTGTCCCCCTCCTTTCGGTACCATACAGGGATCTGTTGGCGATCAGAGTCATGGAGATGATATCATCTGACAAATGTCGTTCCTTCGAGACAGTGGAGGGCTGGATGATGTTGTAACGGGTATATATCCCATAACGTGTTTGTTACTACTATATGACTCAAATGAGAGAAGCAAGTTGCGCGGATAGTCGTATTCTTTCCTAAAAAATTGTATCAAACAAAACCAGGCATGATTTTTGACTTCTGATAGTTTCTTCAGACCGCTAATGATCAACATCTGCTCTTTTGCAAGCCAGTTCGTTTATGA